TAGAACCCGTAAAATCTTTAGCATCTGTGTCACCTTTCATAATTGATACTCTTAGGCTGTTCTGTCAGGTTGGTGGCCTCCTGTCTGGACCTAGCTTTACTGTATAAATACTTAGAGCTCATATTCATAAGTTAGTGGTTGAGATAGAAATACCGATTCCCTTGTTATAAGCCCCAAAATTCCTGCTTTTTTTCTTCTTTTCTTTGCTTAAAATGACAGCTTTCCTGCATTGTTAGGGTAAGTTAGTTCCTTAGGACCATGTGATGGCTAATTTATCTCGAGCAGGATTTCATCACACATAAGATAAATGGGATGGTTAAATGCTTTTGAGAAAGCGTAAAGACGGCTGTGGGGAGAGATGACCACTGCCTAAACCTTGTAGGGGTAGATACCTAGCAGTGGATTTTGACATTGTTTAAAGCACCTGTTGCTCCCAAAAGAATAATAAATCCTGACTGTTTTTGTGCCAAGCTCCATCCAGCCGTATCCCCAGGCACCTCTTCAGTGCAGTGTCCCCTTACAGCCTGCCAGGCAGAAACATTATAAACTAGAATGAGTTCTTTGGCCTTCCCAATGGGCTGTTGAGGTACTTCTGAGACAAGCAGATAGCTCCGTGATAGCTCTAACTCAGTTTTTGTCCTGCGTCTTGTTCTTAACATCTTTAACATCTTACACCAAACAGGAGCTTCTAGAGCTGTGGAGATAGGGTAATTTCTCATTCTGAAATACTCTCAATTGTGTGCTGAATTAACACTTGTTTTGTTACAGTAGATTTTTATGGCTACCTCAGCCAGATATATATTATAGGTATAATCAGATTATAAAACACGGAGCAGTTTGCCCACAAGGCATTTTTCTATACACACATGATCAGAAATGGGCTGTTTGTACTGGCCAGGAGTTTTGGTTGTTCGCCAAAGCAGCAGGCACAGCCTCCTCTTAACAGGTGTGAGGTGCCAGACATGATGAGAGAGAAATTTCTTTCTAAAGAATGTGACATGGATAGTGATGATGGGGAGGAATTGGCCCCGCCACATCTCAAGGAGATGACTTTCTGTACTGTTGTTGCATGTGTGGGGTACTTGCAGCATATTGCAGGTTTTGTGGTGAGATGTTAGCTTTAGGAAGCCTTTTCCACCCAGGAGGTTGTTGACAGTGTTCTTAATTCATCTCACGTGCAGGAAATGGAGAAATACTCACTTCCAGTAACAGAGATAGTAGGTGTAGACTTTTTTCAAATTTTGTGTGAGATGTGTTAATGTAATTTGTTAAAACCACCCTTTGGATGTAATCATGTTTATTAACACTGGACTAGGTAAGACTGGATGATACATAGGAGTAGAAATACACTAGAAATAGAAATTAATCAACTTGGATGACTTAATTTCTGTAAGGGTTCTAAACTCTTAACCTTGTGGAGGGTTAAGTTGACAGGAGGCTTAAACCATAAGCGTACTATTCTGTTGTTAAATGTGTTCTTCCTACGTTACAGAGAGTTCATCAATTACATGAAGCGTTCCCGAACCTTTTATGCCTCTATAGCAGAAAGGCTGTGTGATGGAGACCTGGTGATGAGAGACAGCTCAACCTGCTGGAATGGAGAGGATGTTGTAGAAAGGTAAAGTTATGAGTAAAAGTTTTCCCTAAAGGTGAAAAAGGTGACCTCATATCCTTCTAATGGTTCAGAAGCATTCTGAGACATTGTAGTCGTCATCAAGTGTCTCCTTCATAGTGAACTTGATGCTTAATTGAGCAAGGGTTTTGCTAAAATAAAAGATTGTTAATGCTGAGTTTTAGGTTTCTGTACTAAATATAGTGGAACACTTTCTTGAAGGGCTGCTTTGAAGAGTCCCTTTCTTTCACTATAGAGAAACAGTTTTTTTCTGTCTTACCCTCTAAAGCTCAGTTAGCAAGCAGTACCTCCATGACCGATTGGAGGTTCCTTCCAGTCTGCTGTTTATAGGCTCATTAGTGCAGAGCTGAACATCATGTTTGGCCATAGTTAGAAAACACGTAGCTCTTCCTGCAAAGGTGTCAGAAAAATACAGTGACCCGACCATTATGTTTTTAAAGGATTTCCCTGCTATTTCTTTTCGAAGTTTCTGACATAGCACTTTGAATAACTGTTTTTGGAATTGCCCAGCATCCTTACCAGAGCATGTTCTGCAGGAAATTCTTATAAAGTAACAATTAATAAATGCACTGTTCCATGCGGATAGAGCAGCTAGAATCTCTGTAGGGTGAAAAGATATTTCTAGTTTGTCAGCTAAATTTTTCCCTCTATATTTTATCACAGTCTTTCCCAACACCCTTTAGAACCCAAACTGGAAAATACACTTGCACTCTCCATGAGCTAATCTTTTTGCTGTCATTTCTCTTATTCTGTATAACATAGGCAACATTGCCCTGAGGAGAAAGAGGTATTCAGAACACAACTATATCTGTTACTATCACTGTCAAAGTATACGTCAGTTTTTGCAGTGAGAGCTGTTTGGAAGTGTGCCAATGAATGTTTTCCAAAAATGTCTTTTTGTTGAAACAGAGACATTCCATGGGATTGTGTTGGCTTTCATGATGTTTCTTTTTGAAGTGTATTTTGTGGTCTGTAGCAGTTCTAAAAGATAAAGTTCTAGCATTCTCTTTTCTTGCTTTAAAACAATTTTCATGACTGAAAATTCTTTTGTAGGAAATTATGGTATAATTCCAATGTGGAACAGAGGGAGATACTACAATTATAGGCTGTCCCATTAAAGGGAGTTCTGACTCCCACACAGCTCTGCTTAGATTTCCTATGTGTAAATAACTTCAGCTTAATTATGTCTGAGATATTCAGAGATAAATACATGTCTAACACATTCAAAGATAACTTTAAAGTTTAATATTTCAATGTATATTGGCATTACAGATTAATTGTAGAAGCATATATATGAAGATTTTGACAACAATGCAGTATTCTAAATATTAACATATAGTAATTGTAATACCGATTGATGTTTTTGCTGTAAAAGTAATGGAGAGGAAGTGGGGAGAATATCAGTATTTCTAATCAGTGTTTCCATTTCAGAGTCCCTTTTGCTGGTAACGTTGCTGGATACACAGTTAACTTTTAGAACAAACAGCTTTCTGGCCAAAAGAAAAACAAGAAAAGCAAAAAAACCCAAACCATATTCTATATCAACTCTCTGAACAGAAAATTAAATAAAAATTTAGGTTTAATTTTTGTTTTATTTTATTAAAAAAAAATCTGCTTAAATTGCTGATACACATGTTTTAGAAAGGCATGAAAGGGAAAGCTGTTGGTTTTTTTCCTTTGCCAGTCTGTAACATTCCCAGAGCTGGAGACATGTGGAATAGTTTCAGGTTTTGAAAAGGGTGGGAAGTTGGGAAAAGTAGCAGGGAAAAGACTGGCAAGACTCCTCATATTTTGAATTAAAAAGCAAAAACAAAGGGTAAAACAAAAAACCCCTACACCCCAACATCAACAAAAAAACCCCTGCCGCCAAACCCTGAAATATATATTTGTGGTTAAGATATTAAATAGGCAAATTAGAATATAAAAGTTTAAATTCATGTTTAATCAGACAGCAATATGTATATATTTATCAGTTCTGTTGCAGTATTGATTGCCTTAAAAGGAGGAGGCTTTCCGGGCAGCCTGCACTGTCAGCAGTGCTACACAGCAGCACAAACATGGCACCTGCTTGCTGTCAAATTTTACTCCTTTCATCATCTGTTTTATAGGCTGGACTTGTCACCAGTTCTCCCCACATGAGAAATACACCTGTCCTGCTGATGCCTGAAGATGCATTTCTCTTTGTTCTTTCTCCTTTCCCAGGAGACCGGAGGATTAAATATCAGCAGTAGTAAACAGCTCTGAACTCAAAATAGAGCCTTATTCTTAACTCTGTATCAGAAAATAGATCTCCCCAATTAATCTGGTGGATCTCTTGTGAACCTGAGTTTAAGGTTACTCAGGCTGTGGAACTGGCAAAAGCTGTGGTTCCTGTTTCCTCGATGCTTCTTGCATTTCATAATGCTATTTGAAAGCTGAGCGATATTTATGCTGCATGCTAATTGGCATTCAGGCTCTTTAAGAAAAACAAACTCAACCTTTAAAAACAATTTGACTCACAAATGCAGCCTGAAACAATATGAAATTATTACTCAGAAATGGGGATTGTGCATTCAATTAGTAGAGAGGGTACTTGAGGTCTCAGAGGATCTGATAAGCAGGATTCTTATTGTACTTTTTTATTCTATTATAATTCTCTGGATTGGGTTTTATCATGTTTAAATCAAAGCACTAGCAGGCAAAAAAAAAGCTTGAGCTGTCAGTAAATACACCATAAAAAGAGCCAGGTTGTTTTCACTGGTTTGAGAGTATGCTTCTGGCCTGCTCTTCAGATGAACATCAAAACATGGCTTTGCTAGGAATCCTCTAGTGTCAGTTCAGGGCCTTTGAAGACATTACAAATACTTGCACCAGGAGTACAGTCTTTCTCTTCATTACTCTTTTGAGCAACTTGTTCCTGGAACATGACTTCGTAAGAAATAGTCTGTGAGGCTAATAAATAGTCTGAGTATATACAAAGAATGCTCAGAGGAGATGAGGCTAGAGCAGGAAAACTGGAAAAATATTTTGCAAAGTGAAGCCAGCTTGGAGAAATTTCTGTGCTAGAACCTTTCTTTCCTGGCAGTGTGTCAGATGTCAGTAGAAGAGGCTGCAGGAGAAGTTGACAGTGTGAACCATTCTGCCCTACCAGGACCAGACACCATTCACCTAAGAGCTCTAGAAGGGCTAAAGTTGAATTACTCATTGTGATACTGTATTTTCTTTAAGAATGCTCCAATTGCAGATGATGGAAAGATGTGGAATGTGAAGCCATCATTGTATTTTTAGCAAAATAATGATTTCAGAAAGATGTGGCTGGTAAACTTGGTATGTAACAGTAAAATCTGTAGAAACTATCAGCAGATGAACGTGATACTTAGGGAAAGGAATCAACATGTTGAGAGTCTTTAGAAGGAGATAACAAGCGTGTAGACAGGGTAGATTGCTATAGTCTGCTTGGATTTGGGATAGGTATTTGATAAGGTCCTTCACAAGAGGCTGGTAGAGATGAAAATAAGGGTAGGTAATAGATGGTCGTAAGTTACAGTAGAAAGAGGTCACCAGTGGCAGCGCATGGGGATTTGTGCTGGAACCTGTGCTGTTCATCTGTCATAAAAGACCCGTGAAGGGAAGTGAGTATTGAGATGACAGCATGTGCTGATGATAGTAAGTTGTCCTGGGTAGAAAAGACAAGGGTCAACTGTGGTTAATTGTGAGAGGAACACATGACATGGAATGACTAGGCAATAAAATGGCATATGAAATTCAACACGGGCAAATGTAAGGTGATTCACATAAGAACAACAATCCAAATGTTACGTACAGAATGGTGTGCACTGAGGTGGCTTTCACTGCTCCAGGCACATGGTGTCTGCAGTTCTTCTGTCCCCCAGGCTCAGAAAGATAGAGCACAACCGCAAATGTACAGAGGATAGCAACACGGAGGAGGATCAAGGGCATGAAATGGATCCTGTGTGTGGAATGGCAGACACTCCAGCCTGACACAGAAAAGATAGAAGGGGAATATGATAGTGGCCTATAAAAATCTTGTGTGTTGTGGAGATGCTGATTTGTTGTTGTTGTAGGGATTTGTTGTTCACTGTCTCTTTCATTACAAGAACAAGGGGCATCTTCTTAAATTAATAAGTGACAGCTTGAAAACAGAAGTAGATATTCCTTTGGTAAACTTTTGGTTAAGCTGTGAAACTTCTTGCCTCAGGATGTTTGGATGTTTAAGAAAAAGGATGAATTCATGAGCAAATTCAGCTCATAGAAGAGCAAGTTGTAAAATGACTGAGCAGATATGAGGCAACCAGGTGCCACGTCCAAGTCTTTCTCTAAGAGCTGAGGCAAAAGGCTAGACAAAAGATTTCCTCTGGTCACCCTTAGGCAGCTGCTCCCATGGACTTCTTTTCTGTAGGGGCTAAACTGCAGGAACCTTCCTCTCTTCAGGAATCTCTCTTCAACTAAGCTAAATGCTGGCATTGAATCACTTTCTCCATTCTCCCTGGCTGTGGTAGCTAAACAGGATTTGCTATCTCAGGTCTCAGCCTTATAAATGGCAGACTAGTACAATACAGTGCCCAAGGACTTTCCCAAAAGCTCATCCTGAAATTTTCTGTTGATGTTAGATTTACATCTTTGCACAAAACATGGATTCCCCTTTAGAACTTCTTTTTATGAAGCTTGGCTTTTTGTGAAGTCTTAGCTGCAGTAGAGTAGCCTTATCAGAGACAGCTCTTCCTGCTGCTAGAGAAGGGAAAAGGAGATGTGGTCTCACTGGCAGGCTTTTGGGGTGTGCCTGTGTACAACAGATGAGTAATCTTGATTTGGAAATAGCACTTTAAGGGAACAGTGGATTGTGAGTACTACATTAAAGTTAGAGAATCATTCAGTCTTTCCATCTCTGCCTGCCTACTTATCTCTTGCAGTTTCTATTTCAAGAGAGATGAAAAAATCATAAATAATAAATAGACAAGCAGTAATCTGTGTATAGAAGAATTAAA